TTTATCAGATAAGGGTGTATCTGCATACAGGTTCTTCCTCATATAGATAGTACATGTGAGTCATCATGAAAAACAACAAACAAAAAATCATTTGCAGATTTAATTCTTCCGGAAGCTCAAATGATGTTTCAAACTTTGTATGCATGTTTGTATCATATGTATCTAACAGAAGAAAGAAACTCATACAGGTTTGGAACAACTTGTGGGCGAATACATTATGAAAGCATTTTGGTTTTTTGAGTGGGCCTCAAATGACATTTTACCTCCAATTTTAGTTAACTTGACAGGAGTTAATTCATTCCCCAATATACAAACAGCTGGACTATCAAGATCTGTATGCAGTCGGCTGCTATGAAGGCTGTAATAGCTCACTGTTTTCAAATGTGCTTTCTCCCTTATGGTAAATATAAACTAATGCTATGGTTTAGCCTATATATAGCCTGGCCTGCACTCTGTACAATGTACAGTAGGTAGTACTACAGACCAAGGCACTACATTGTTGTTTTACATTGTAACCAGTAGATGGTAGCATTCTCACTGAAAATAAACTCTCTCTTCTGATCTCCAGTAGGTGGCCGTGTTTTCTTATTGCATGTTATGGTCGGATCTGAGGATAGATAGATAGAGCCCTTATAATAATAATAATAATAATAAAAATAATAATAAATTAATAATTTTAAATGATTAATTTTTAAAAAATATATTATTAAATGGGTAACCATATAAAACATTTTAAGTGAAGTCGGCACGTAGGCCTAATAGCATTACAATTTAGACATAATAACATTTACATTTTTTGTCAATTACTGACATTTTAATTACTTACAAAATACACTAATATTTACACATAGCACAAGTGTAGCTGTTAAACTGTATTCGTTTTAGTCCTTCGAAACATATTTTTAGACAGATAGGCTAATATGAAAACAAAAACTTACGAAGAATTTAAAAACTTAGAATTAGAAGAGTCCGAAATCAGATACACAGTATAAAAAAGATTGAAGAAAGGATTGCTGTTACAAAATTTACAATTGTGTATAAAATATTTAGCAAATTTGGGAATATTTTTTATTTTTTTCCGTAGAAGCAGTTTTGTTATTGAAAAAATATAACCGCAAATACGGAGTTATATCTCAAAACAAAATTAAGTAACAACAACATTCTTATAAACAGTAAGCAAAAAAGATAGTAAAAGCAAATAAAATAAACAGACAAAACTTTAGATAAAATAAATAAAAAATAAAAATTGAGCCAGAGTTAACATATAATTTAAAATAAATTGAAGAGTGAGAAGTCCCTTTTTTTTTCATTATACAAAAGCATAAATACTATCCAATCATGTGCATTGGAAAATATATTGATATCGTCGATTCACGTCTGGTGACGTCACTTGCTCTGACCGCGCAACACAACACTAATGTCAGCAGCTCACATGGCGCGCTTTCATTCAAAGGTTTCCTAGCAACGAAAGATGACCAGAGCAGAGGACGCAAAAGGAGCCACAACCTGTCTGACAGGAGCTCTGAGTGTAGAGGATCTCCCAGACAACAAAACTCGGACAGGTAAGAGTGATTTATCACACGGTCAAAACTAAAACTGGGGTCAATTATATGAATAGAGGTTAAAAAAAAAAAAAGATACATGCAGTAGTAATACAAATGTGTGCTTTGTTTATTTTGACACATTTTGTTTTTAGTAACGTAATTATCAGTTGCATTTCTACTAATTGTGTCACGTACTTTATCATAAAGCTTACCGTTTTGAATCGAACTAATCAGATAGTTTTGAACACTGGCTGGATATACTTGCTCAAAAATTTGTTTTGGATAATTTTTTAACCCAATTTTTTTTTTTTTTTTTTTTTTAACTTACGGAGTGCAGCTTTAATTTTTTCCTGGATTTTGTATCACCATAGTCCCTAAATGTATGTAAATGCAGGAAATGGGATTCAAATTCACCCATTTTGTGTAGCCTATACCCCCCACTTCTCAAACCAAAGTTACACCCAAATATGCATAACCTGATACCACAACTAAATTAAGCCACCGGCATACTGTATGACTATTAATCAGGAATTTGTACACACACATACTGTATACACACACGTTGTGTTTTAAAGTTTTATGGCGACTTTCCATAGAAATAATGATTTTTATACTGTATATTCTATCCCCTTACACTAACTCTACCCAATAGAAAGCTCAAAAGAACAGCATTAATCTTTTTTTTTTTTTACATTATTCACAACCGTTGTAAAGAACTGAATGCTTTTATTCAGCAAGGATGCATTAAATTGATCAAAAGTGACAGTAAAAACATTTAAAATGTTCCAAAAGATTTCAATTGTAATGATGCAAAAATTCAGCTTTGCCAACAGGAATAAATTGCATTTTAAAATGTACTCAAATAGAAAACACAAAACAGTTATTGTAATAATATAATAATTATAATAATATTTTACAATATTACTTTTTTGCTGTATTTTGGATCAAATAAATACAGCATTGGTGAGTATATACACACACAAGTAGCCTATGCTCTGCTGTCAAATCAATTAATCATGATTAATAACATCTAACATAAAGTTTATATATATAATATGAGTGTGTGTGTGTGTGTGTGTGTGTGTCTCTATACATATTTACACACACACACACACACATATATATATGTGTGTGTGTGTGTGTGTGTGTGTGTGTATACGTATACACACACATATATACTGTATATAAACAGTATACACACATATTAGATATATACAAACTTGTATGTTAGATATGATTAATCAAATCAGAAAATATAATAATATATATCTCATGGCCTGCATTTATAAAGAGTCACGTGACTTGTAATTAAGAGGCTGTTTACATTACTTTCCAAATGACTATCCAATGGATAATTAAATGTGATTTCTCCTATTTCCCATAATTCAGAGAATTGTCTGATTTCTTGAAGGTTCTGGGATCGTCTCTATGGCCGAAAAGGATTGTGGTTTTGCTCCTCTGGTGTTCCGACTGCATGGAGGAGCTCCGCTGGTGGTGCGTGAGGTTCTGCTGGAGCGAGGATGGGAGGAGTATGATGAAGACGAGCAGGAGCAAGGAGACTGGAACCTCTACTGGAGATCCTCTGGCTTTCGAAACTCAGACTTCAAAAACATCCTGCCCTGGCAGAGACTGAACCACCATCTCAAAATGACCCACATTACACGCAAGGACTATCTAGCACGACACTTGAGAAGAATGAAGAGCGCTTTCGGCGCAGCCTTGTATGACTTCAGCCCTGCTGCTTTCATATTACCAAACGAATACACAAAGTTTCTCGGGGTGTATACTAAGAATCGCACCACTGATGGAGGGAGGTCTTGCTACTGGATTTGTAAACCCGTTCACCTGTCGAGAGGAAGAGGTATATATCTGTTTAAAGACATCAAGGACTTGGTCTACGACTCTTCGTTAATCATACAAAGATACATCAGCAACCCGCTTCTCATTTCAGGCTACAAGTTTGATCTCCGCATTTACGTTTGCGTCAAGAGCTTCTGTCCTCTTGTAATTTACGTGCACCAAGAAGGCCTAGTGCGTTTCGCCACAGAAAAGTACACCCTCGCTTCTTTAGACAACCTATACTCTCACCTGACCAACACCAGCATCAATAAGTTCGGATTGTGCTACGCCATGGACAAAGAGCGAGTTGGCCGAGGATGCAAGTGGACCATGAGCAAATTCCGCAGCTTTCTTCACAAACAAGACGTAAACGAACTTCTCCTTTGGCACAGGATCAGCAATATCATCACGTTGACTCTGCTCGCAGCCGTTCCTTGCAATCCCTCCAACCCCAATTGTCTGGAACTGTTAGGGTTTGACATCCTCATCGACTCCAGCTACAAACCGTGGCTTCTGGAAGTCAACCACAGTCCGGCACTGTCATTAGACTGCCCCGCTGATGTAACTGTCAAGAAAGGGCTGATCAATGATATAATCGACCTGATGAATTACAGGATGATGGATGGTTTTAGACAGAAGGAAGATATCAGAAAGAGATATACAAGATCAGGGAGATGGTGTTTAAAGCCAAAAATTCCTCTGCTACCCAAAACTTTGCATGCTACTCCAAGCTCTTCAACCTCTTCAAGTTCTCAAGACACCGTGTTGTGTTGTTCTGTGAATGATTGTGCTAGAAATAACAGCAGGTATGCTTCTCGCCCCGTTCACCCTAATTCAAAATCCACTATGTGCAGTGGACATGAAAAGGCTCCACAGAAGCTGGAGAAAATGAACGTTGAGGTGGGATCTGATGACCTAAAACTCACAACGCTTAACAGTACGAGGCAGTCTCATAGAAATACACCATCTTCCGCATTCAAGTTGCCTTCTCTTCACAAACATAAACCCAAATCCCCAACCGTCCCATGGAACCGCAGGACTCAGGACAGAGACATCCCTCCTTGTCGTGTTGGAGACTTCATTCTGACGTTTCCCTTTAATGAGGCTACGTGGAAAGCCTCTCAGGAGCAAGTGGATGTTAAGGCTATTGTGAATGAGGTCCGGAAACTCACAAAAAGACTGGGATCTTCCTTTAACGAAAGGAAGAGGACAATGGCGGACAGCAGTCAAAGTTGTGATGCTGTCAGGGACAAATTTGAGTTTCTGCTTTGGGGGCCAAAAGATCCACCTCTTCTCAGCGAATGCTACTCTTCAAATGCAGAAACTAAATAAAATAGTTTAAGAGGGCCTATTTTTTTTTTTTACAAATAACAATTTGTAATCTCATTCAAGACAAGATAATTAGGGAGAGCATATATATCGTACTTGCACATAATAGTTTTTTTTTTCTAATTTAGACAGAATTTTTACCAATCGTTATATAAGAATTAAACTCACTTGTGTATTTTTTTAATGTATTTTATTTTATTTTATGCTCACAAGGCTGCATTTAGCCATGCAAAAAACAGTAAAACACTAATATTATTAAAAATGTTCTATATTTTTTAAAATTAAATTATAATTTTTCTGACCCAGACTTTAAAAAAAAGTAGTGTACATGCTACTATTAGACAATACAGAAAAAAACAAACTCGAAACACATCCTTAGATGTAATGCTTATATAAGATATTTATCCCAGCTCTTCCTTACTATTTTAGGAATGTTCCTCTTCTGAAACCAGATAGTTGCAATGTAGTATAATGTCACGACTCGGTCAGAGGGTCTTCACTCTTCACCTGAATACAGTATCAGATGTGTTCATGCTGAGAGAAACTCTTAGCAACACAAGACACCTGCTGACAGCACATGTAAAAAAATAATAGGCAGGCTTAGTTCTCCTGATTGTCATTTACAGTTTATTGATATGTTTAGATCAGAGAGTTTAGATGATTTACATAGAAATAAAAGAAAAATAGTTTTTTAGAAGTTCACTTTTTGTCCATTATAAGGACACATTCATTGTTCTTAATGTGAACCCTCCCAGATGAGAATTTTGTCTCTTGTCTCCCATCCCTATAGAGAGTTTTAACGGTTCCATCCGGGTACATCCTCCTCTTATACAGTGAGGTATGGATCTCTCTCTGCCCATTAGTAAACTCCACCATCTTTTCACCATGTCTGTGGAAGCAGTGTGTAAGGGAGTAAATAAAAAAGAAGGAAACAAACCAAAAAACAGGAAAGGCAGACATTCATCTTACTGTGATATCTTGACAATAGTTCCATCTGGAAAAATGCTTTCCTCTCGACCGTCGGAGTGGAGAATCTTGACGGTGCCATCCGGGAAGGATATTTCCCTTGTGCCGTCAGGATGGTGTTTTTCTAAGGAAATGTTACATTTAAACAGACATTTAAAATCCCATATTCAAATTACACTGACATTTTGAAATAAATTTGACAAATAATTACAAAGAAAGTGCTAAAAAGGTTAATTCCTGTAGTAAAAAAATACCAAAATGTTTTTGAAATACATTTATTTTAAGTATACTGCAAATACATTTACATATTTATGTAATTAATACCATGTAATTGTACATTTACTATACTAAATTGATATACTTGAAGTCTGCTAAATTGGAAACTAATTTTGTACTTAATGTACTTAGTTATCCGGAAATAGTGTTGAAGTCCAACTAAAGTAATACTTAAAATATGACTGCTAAAATGGATTTTTGATACACTTTAAATAGCTTGCATTTAAAAAATGATATTATACAGAGATCATACTATCCTTAGTAACAATAAAACACATTTTAGGCTCAATAATGTGCTTTGTTGCAATAAGGTACTCCAAATAAAGTTTAATTATAATATTTATATCTGTTAGTCTCGGTAGTAAATTTACATTTAAGTAATATGATAAAGCAATATATCAGTAAATATCTTAATGGTTTTATAGTATACCTAATATGATATAAATATAAATGTATTTAAAATGCATTTTGGTATAGGTTTTTTTTCACTAGGGTCACACTGCTGTGCTGAGAGAGCAATCACCAGATTAGTGCGTCATTACAAAAAGACTGAAATTATGTACTCCAATAGGCTTTTTTACAACATTAAAAATTCTGTTTTTTGTTTTTTTTTACAGTGTATGTCAATAAATGAACATGTTTTTTCTAACCTCTTTGGTTGTTTGGAAACTGTACAACCTCCAAACCAGATGGATAGGTTGAGTGTGTTGTTTGAGCATCACAATAGTAGTATATCTAGACATAAAGAAATGCAATTGTTAACTTAGAAATTTAAAACAGTTTAATTGTTAACTTAAATGGCAAAACCAAACAATAATTTGAAAATTAACAAAAACCACTTGGAAGTTGTTGCATTTGAAGCACGAAAAAAACTTTCGTAATTTGTAGTGCTTTGGTATAAAAAAAATTGCAAAAATGCTAATGAAATAAAAACTATTTAATCAGCATTAAAACCAGAGGAAACCATACTAAAACTGGAAAGCAAAATACAAAATTTAATGATCTGAACCCTGATCTGAAGACTTACAAAGACAAAAGGTGTGGTGAATTACGGGAAACAAAAATCGAAAGCTTAAGCTTGTAGGAACATGTAAATATTTAGTAAATTTTGCAATGTTGCAATAGTAACTGTGCGAACAGACATCCTTATTCTCTAAGGGCCTCATGATACACACCACAGTCCCGTCAGCCTGCGTGCGTTTAACATCTCCATTGAAGAAGGTGACAGTGACCGACTTGTCAACACCAATCTCTTTCTTAGTTCCGTTGCGGAATGTGATCACACGGCATCCGTTCAAAAAAAGACGTTCTACCTAAGAGAAAGTAGAACATTTTGAAAAAGGGTTGGAAGATGTGCTTAATACAAATTTCTAATTGCAAAAAATACCCTCCTTACTCTTCCATCTGGATAGTGAGTTTCTTCCTGTATTTTGTCTTTTCTGGCCTGGGATGCCCTTTGTGCATCATTGCAGTCAGTATGATGATAAAACAAACTTCCCTGTGAACAAAAGTGTCATTATGATACTATGATGCATTGCACATTTCATAATAGACACTGCGTCAGACTTTGTCATGACGTGACAAACACTCAGAAGAAAGGTACAAAAGCTGTCACTGCTTTGTTTTTTTTCTTTGGAGAGTGTGTGTAAGTGTGTGTCATTCCTTAAAGGGTTAATGAAAATTCTCTCAGTATTTACTCACCCTCATGTTGTTCCAAACCTCTATGTGTTTATTTGTTCTGCTGAACACAAAGGAAGATATTTGGAAGAATGTTTTAATCAAACAGATCTCATTCCCCATTGACTACCATGTATTTTTTCCTACTATGGTAGTCAATGGGGAATGAGATCTGTTTGATTAAAAAATTCTTCCAAATATCTTCCTTTGTGTTCAGCAGAACAAATAAACACATAGAGGTTTGGAACAACATGAGGGTGAGTAAATAGTGACAGAATTTTCATTTTTGGGTGAACTAACCCTTTTGATGTTGCCTGCATCAGGCGCAACTGTGCCTTTAAGAGAAAAGTAAATACCTTTCCGCCACTCATGCCAGTGTTCTGTGGACCGTCAGTGGAAAGTGCAGAATTCTTTCCTTTTGACAAACAAGATATAGCAAGTTGAACACATTAGGCTTAGATTCAGTGATGACAACTTGTATTTTTAGTACATAAGAGATGAGCAAGCAAACGTACGTAGGCTACTCAAAGAGTTGGCTGAGCATTCTGTTGTCCTGTTCGCTTTGGTAAGAGAGCATCCATTTGCCTGCATCAAAGAACAAAAACTAAGAATAACTAAAATTCAACAATTTTTTTGACAAACAGTACTGCACTAAATATCAGTATTTTTGTTCTGTTATCCATTAAAATATCTAAAAAGAAAAGGAAATTGATTTATTAATTTACATAAATCAAACAAATATTATGAGTTGTACTGTATGCTTCTGCTTGCATGTCACAATAACATGAATCATTGAATACATATATAATGTGCAAGTGATTCTGCATTATTTTACTGTACTCTTGATTTACTGAAAATTGAATAGCTCTTTTTGTTCATCAATTATGAACATGGCAAACAATTACAAAATAAAATCAGGATTTAACACTAAGACTGTATGAAATGGAGATGGGTATAGTGTAGATGCATTGCACAAGCATGAATTAGTTATAAAGAGCCGAGTCAATTATCTGACACTGGGCTTTGAGAGCCATCATGAATTATTTCTGAACAGATTAAAGGCCACTTGAGAACACATTACACACCTCAACGGCTTTATAGCAACTATGGGTCCTTACAACAAATGACTACAAATAAAAAAGGGAAATATTTACTTTAAAGTAAAAAAAAATATTTTCATAATTAATATTTCATACTAACATCGCTCTGTTGTGTCCTGGTGGTTTTGATAAAGGCTGGAGTTGCGCTCCTAACACAAGGGGTCTTCTGTGGTTCCTCTCTGCTTTTCTCAAACTGAAGCACAACATTTATGTTATTCATTGAGGCATACAGTATATAAATACAGATGTTTGCTTTTGTTCTGAGTAAAGACCATAACCTGCTGAGAAATATTGCCCTCCAGGTTTGAGATAACATTTTAAATATTTTTTTCAGAGCTTCTTCTAAGTAACTTTGCAACTACATTACATGTCAAACAGCAGTCATAAGAGTGTTAGACTGTCTGCTTAATATTTGCTAACACTTTAATTGATGGTCCGCATTCATTAGCATTCTATTGAATATAAGTAACTTTGCAGCTACTTGTCAACATACATAACAACATACTATATCTATATCTATCAGTATAACAGTATCTTTAAACCTGACAGTCTATTAGTGAAAGTTAGTTGACATGTAGTTACAAATTAATGAGTTAGGTGACATGTAGTTGCAAAGTTAATTATAGTTAGTAGAATATACTAAAAAAAAAAGTGTAATCAATCGTATGTTCATTCAAAAATACAATTTTCAATTTGCCCTGCTTTCCATTTAGAAAATTAAATTCCTTAGAGCAAAATTGCCAAATCTACCGAGGCACTTACTGTATAATAAAACAAAACTAGAGACTTGACATCTATATTATAATTTTAATAAATAAAGTTATATATTTCAATTGTTTTCCAATAAATAAAAATGGGAAAGTGTACAATATTGGGAAATATTGTATAAACCTCTTTAAATGTAGTTAGGTTTCAGACAGGGCAGGATTTGGCCTTTTATGTGTATAAAAATATTGTTCAAATCAAAATATTTAATCTGTGGGTCATTATTGAATATAAGGTTGGAATTTACTTTCACTGCGCTGTATGATCCAGCATGAGGAGCAGAGGAACCAGCGCTCTGGGGCAAACTCTTGTTCACATTAAACCTGCTGTGAAGCTCCTGGTTCTCTCGGATGAGGGCTTCCACGTGGCTCTGGAGGAGACTGTGTGCCTGTGACCAGTGCGACTCCCTCTCCATCAACTGCTGCTTCAGAGATGAGATCTGCTGTCTCAGATCCTACAGTAAATGCACAGGGATTTAAACATGAAGTACTTTCTGAATGCATATTGCATTTAAAACCATGTAAGGGTCCTAAAAAAACATTGTTCCATGAAGAACCATTGACATCGAACCTTTCCACTGCATGAAAGTCTTTATAGTGGAAAAAGTTCTATACAGAAAAAAAGAAACTACTTACTGAAAGGTTCTTTGGGGAACCCAAAATGATGGTTATATGAAATCACTGTGAAACCCCTCTTTTGTAACTTGCATTTTAATAGTGTATAAGAAGTAAAGTGGTGGTTTTTTACAAGATCACACTTTCCAAAGTTTCTTTTGGTTTAAAATGTCTTGTTTCTACCTGAGGTTCATGAAGTTCACTCGTAAGCCTGAAAGGTTTGCAGCCATCCTCTCCTTTGAAACCATGCTCTTCCATCTCAGTCCTAGTCAAATTCAGGAATATGTTTCAGGGTAAAGAGTTTCTCTTCAAAATACCCCCCCAAAAAATGGTAAAAGTCATAATCTTTTAACAAAACCTGATTGAAGTATATGGTTTCTCTTTCTCCATGCCATGTGTGACGTCTTCTGGAGTAACCTTGACTTTTGGAAATGTCTTTGTGAGAGTGTCAGTAACAGAAGGTGGTCTAAAATCACTGGGGTCCTTCTTTCTTCTGTTTTCTTGGAGCACTTAGCCATAGACCCCTCTAAGCTCTTGAGTTCAGAGTCACTGCTGAAGCTCGAACAACTAGACGTAGGAGTTGATGAATGTTCTTCATTGAATTGAATCTCACTCGGGGCATCACTAGCATAGTCTCCATCCGACAGATCCAGACTCTGATCTTTGTGATCCGTGTGCCTTGAAAGATAATGAGGAAACGGACTGTGAGGCTGAGAGTTGGGTCCGTCCTCACAAGTGCTGTCGTTAGATTCACTAAGAGCCAGTGACTCCATCACCTCATCCATCAAATGGACTTCTTTGGTATGTTCCCTTTGATGGTAGTTTTTCTCATGGATTTTGACAATGTGGTCATTCACTTTTTTAAAGCCAACACTCCTGCTTTGTGCCGGAGCAGATCCACTTGGCTTACTTCCATTTGTTCTACCATAATTCTTCACAACTCCTTCCCTGCGCTTGCTTTTAAGAGAGACTGCATTGATGGCAGTATTAGCAGTCAAAGCTTTGACTTTCCCTTTGTTGTTTGATAGATAATCATCAACTTGTAGAGCAATGGTCTTCTTCAAGCCAGGTTTTTGGTCACTGAGGTTTCCCACACCCTTCAGTGCAGGATTGCTCCCATTTGGTATCTCTTCAGTGGGTCGTACTGGCGGCTGACTGGGCTTCATGTTCATTATTTGTGAACTAACAGAGCATCTCCTCTTTAGACTTAGTGAACAGTCCTTAACCTTCGAAATTTTAGATGTTCCTTCTCCTTTACGAAGAAAATTCCTCTTCTCTGCTCCTTTGAGTTGTGTACTAGCCTGTAAAACAGAAAGGATAATGCTTAGAACACATTTAAAGTCAATTTTAACATTGAGCTCATTTTTTTGTACATTTGGAGTGCTGTCAGTACAGACAAAAACGACAAAAATCGGTGTTGCCTACACCGTGTTATCCTCTTTTTAAAATTCGCACCCTGTTGACTTCAATGGGGGCAAGTTAACCCTGCTTTTAGCCTCTTAACATCCTTGATTTGTCATTACAAGTGCACAGCCATGTGAGTGGGGTTATTAAGAGTGACCACGGTCAATCTGACTGCAGAAGATGTGAAAGATATTAATAAAAATTATGTTAATTCAGCCAGCTCACATACCTGTAGTTACTTCCTGTTTTCGAGTTTGCGCGCGCGAAAAAAAATGAGCTCAATGCTAAAATTGACCGGAGTTCTCCTTTAAACTGCAGAAGAGTTTAAGATTTTAAATGCTCATACCTCATTCTCATATTGGAGAACAGCCTGGTCTGTTTTTAGATGTTCTTCAACAAACTCTTCAAATGTTTTTTGCTCTTCTCTCAGTCCTGGTCGAATAGGCCTGTGTTTAAATGATATTTCTTTTTAAATTATACAGCTCTCATACTACACATATAGCAAAAGTCTTATATTAGACAGTCACCAAGCTGCATTTATTTGGTCAAAAACACAGTAAAAGCAACAATATTGTGAAATATTATTACAATTCAATATATTTTATAATGTGATTTATTCTTGTGATGCAATGCTGAATTTTCAGCATCATTACTCCAGTCTTCAGTGTCACATGATCCTTGAGAAATTATTCTAATATGTCGATTTGCTGCTCAATAAATATTTCTTATTATTATCAATGAAACCATGATATTTCGTTAGGAAAAATCTTCTCCCAAATTGTGAAACCAATTAGCCTCTTAAGTGGTCTGAATGGCTTATTGCTTTTAAAAAAAGACAAGCAATATAATGATAGATATCAATAAACAGCTAAATTAATCATAAAAAATATCAACCAAGTAATTAGCCTAATTGAGGCAGTTATATTAACCCCCCCCCCAAAAAAAAAAAAAAATAAATAAATAAAATATGTTAATGTGAGTTTATTTTATATATAATAAAACACTGTAAAAAAAAAAATCCATGATTGCATAATAATGCGTGCAGAGGGTTAATTTATAACTTTATATTTAATGTAGGTCAAGTGTGTGTTTCAGCATTGGACAACATTTCAAAAGGCTCATCCAGTCACAATTTTAGAGTGTTTATAAATGTATTTTTGCATCATATAATACCTTTCCTCTGGGTTTGGCGGGAGACCTTGCCTCAGTCCGAAAGGGCTAAGAGGACAGTCGTCTTGTGCAGGTTCTGGAGACTCTTCTTCAATAGCAAACAAGCATCTGAGCTCTGCTGACGGTACAACATCTGCAATGCAAATTGAGAATCTCATGTAATATTATGACTCAACTTCTTGGCATATAGCGTAATTCGACAATAAAAATCTAATGCAATTCACCTTTCCAACATTATGCAAGATATAAAGTCTTAGAAATGAACGTCTGCATTGTATTAGGGACCTAAAAGTCGGCTTGCTGTGCAAATATATAAGGCGTGGCAAATCTTTAAACAGTTCATGTCCTTATGCTATAAAAGGCAATACTTGCCCTTCAGCTATTTCTTCTTTCTTTCACATATCTGCTCAAGCTTGTCTGGACAAGCCACTAAATAGACCTATAATGAACAAGGTGTTTAGGACACAATATCAATAACCATCAAATTTTTTCATGTACATTTGATTTGTTATAACTTGCATGGTGAAGTCAACACACCCACTATTGTCCTGCCTAAATATGCTCAGCATGCCCAGACCGTGTCTTCAGCTGTTTTTTTTTTTTGAATGTTTGTTTGCTTTGTCCATTGTGTCAACCTTCCTGACACTTGATCTCTATCAATGCACGCTCACTGAATGCTCTAAAGATTTAAACTTCAGTTGTCTTCCAAGACTGCACTTTTTTTTTAGTCTTTTTCAAAGCAGTTCGTGACATCAGGCATTTAACTTCTCAACAGGTAGAGACTTGAACGCTCAGGCGGAGGCAGGGCTTTGCCTTTAAGTCAGAGGAGCTTTGAGAGCTCAGGCATTCAACATCTACACACATTAGGAAGCGGTTCAGAACTGTGAAAGATGGAGAATATAAGCGACATCAACTGTCAGGAGAACATCGACCAAAGCAGACCTCTGTATATTTTCTACTCTTCTGTGGTTGTGCTGGAGTTCATCTTGGGTCTCCTGCTGAACATTTCAGTTATCCATCTCTTCATCTTCAAGCTCAATTTCTGGAAATCGAAAACCATTGACATTTTCCTGTTCAATCTGGTCCTGGCTGACATTTTGTTGCTGATTGGATTGCCCGTAAAGGCGTATAACTTTCAGCAATGTAGTGAAAATAAGGTCGTGTGCAAAGTACAGCTCTTTCTGCAGTTTCTCAACCGAGGAGCCAGCATCGCTTTCCTGACGGTCATCTCCATTTATCGATATTTTAGCGTAGTCCATCCAGGGAAGAGGAAACGCCACATGATTTTGAAACGATCTCCTCAGATTTCTATATTTATCTGGGTGCTACTGGGAATTTTGACTATTCCGGCCATGTTGCAAAGTTTCATCAGGTGCAAAAGCAATGAAAGCGACGAGGAGTTCACCACTGTCGTTCTACTGAGGGAAGTTGTGTTTTTTACCCAGATTCTGATCCCCTTTTTGGTTCTCGTGTTCTGCTCAATACTGATTATCAAAAGACTCAATCAGAAGTCGGTGGGTGACAAGAACAAGCTCCGGAGAGCGATGTTCCTCGTCACTGCGGTGGTTCTCGTCTTTGCTGTCTGCTTCTTGCCTTATACCATTACAAGAGCGGTGCAGCTAAAGAATGGGCATGTAATGAAAGAGGAAAAAGTTCCTGTCGTCAAACTGTACGATGGGTTTGTTTGTCTCTCTTATCTGAACTGTCTGCTGGATCCAATCCTGTACTGCCTGAGCAGCAGTAAATTTAAGAAGCTATACATGTCGATGTATCTCCCCTTTCTGCTGGAGAAGGAACAACCCGAAAGTTCAGATGACACTGCGGATGAGTGAACCAATGGATTCTTGGAAAGACTGTTGAGGGGAATTTTTTTTGTAGTAAATTATTTGCAATTGTATTGTGTTTAATACATTTTGAATAGTTCACTTGACATCATGTCCAAGACTTAGCCTATTTATTTTTGAAAATGTATTTTTTTTTATCAGTCTTTGTATTTTTGTAAAAAAAAAAAATAATAATTAAGTAATGTATATTGCAAACAAATCTTAAGCACTGTTATCATTTTAAATGACCATTTTGCCTTATTCTAAATGGTTCTGCAGTGTGACAATTTTAAATTCGCAAATAGTCCTTGTGCTTTCTACTTATGTCCTCATATTATTTTACTATCTAACAATTAATCAGATATGAGATTATAAAAAGCTAATGACAAAACAGTTAGTCATATGCAATTTAAATATTTTTAAATGAAGTAGCATGTCACACTGAAGCATTTTTAACAGCTTTATCTCCTGTTTACACAACTTGTCTTGCACATATTGGACATTCTGATGTGGTGTATTTGTAAATGTGACTCATGATCTGTAGTCACAGACAGTTGTCTGTTTTTTCTTTAACTGGAAAGTTATGCTTCTAGAGACTTCTCTGTCAGGCACAGAGGAGGAAGAAATGTCAAAGTTTTACTTGCATTATATGTTACAATAATTTTTATTTTATTTTTTTGCATGCATTAAAATTGTTTTGATTATTGATATGTAGTGAATATAGTATCTCAAACTGAGAACAGTATTGTAAGATAAACTTCTCTGATAAGGACTTCTCCATACCATTGGTGTTATTACTTGCCAGCGGAGCTTCTGATTTATTCTCAACCTGGCCAGAATATGAAGGTTTGGTTGAGCTTTCCTTGAAGGGATCTAAATTCCCAGAAGTGTTGTTGAGATCAGCTTCTGAAGTGCTCGGAGGTGTCTGGGCTTGCCAGTGCGCTAAGAATGTGGGAGATAAAATCAGCCCTGAAAGAGAAAGGAAGGCTCTGAAATGGTCAACTGATACTAATAAAAGGTTGTAATGCCAATGCCACAGGTCTAGTAACATATGTTATTTGCATTACACATAATTTGAAAACTAATGAAGTAGAACTACTTAAGTACTAAAATGCTGTATCTGTACTCTACTAGAGTATTGTTTTTTTCTCATAATTCTACTTTTACTTCAGTAGATATTTTCGATGAATTTAATACGTTTACTTCGATATTTTTTAATGTTCTGCTAGTTACTCGTTACCATTCTAAAAATTTTACGAATCATTCGTTGCAAGTTGGCTTTCGTGCTGCCTAAATCACACGCCAGTTATAGGGTAATGGAATTGATTGACACAAACATTGACAACTAATGCAGGGGTTGTCCTGCAATGACATTTTTTGGCGGCCGCCAAAGCAAATTTGTATCCCGCCAAAGCGCCTTATTTGATTGCTAGTTCAAACTCTTGACTGCTTTCTTTAATAATTGCATGACACAGTCTTGTACTTTTACTTTTAGTACTTAAGTGCTTTTAGTACTTGCAATACTTAAGTACAAAAAATGTTGAATACTTTAGTACTTCTACTTAAGTGTGGTGCTTAAAGAGCACTTCAACTTCTACTCAAGTCACTTTATTGATAGAGCACTTGGACTTTTACTCAAGTCCGGGTTTCTAGTACTTCATACATCTCTGAATTTCAGAAATGAAAACCTAAAGATTGAAGATACTTTCACAAAGTATCATAAACCATCATAAACAACTGTTATATGCATGAGGGGTTCTCCAGTCATACTGTACCTGGACTGATGAGAGAGAGCAGTGTGTTCTGTTCCTGCAAAACTCTCTGCAACTGCTTCACCTGCCGCTGAAGGAGAAGCTCATTTTGCCCTGGATTCTGTTCAGATAGAGATATAAAAATATAAATCTATACTAAGATTCAAAACGTAAATGTTCTACTCTATAATCTGCATCAAGCAAGAGTAGTAAGTGTTGCAACAAAACTATTCCACCACTCTTCTTAAAAAAGTACATAATTATTAAAATCAAACATTGACGGAGAAGAATTTGTACTTTTAGGTTTTATTAATTTTACACATAATCACTGTGAAATAAAAATTCCAAAAGACAATTCCTATTTTTAATGAAACATTTATTATAATTGATTTATTCATGCCTATCACTTTTTATTTTTTCATTTTATATTTTAAGTAATGTGCCCTCATAATCATTAATCAAAAAAAAAAAAGCGGCAACATCTCTTCTACTGATGTGAGGGCGGGACAGCCTGTCACTCACATGAGTTCCACCAATAGCAAACCACAAACATCCAACCATCCAATCAATTCCCCATAGAGAAAATCAGGTCCCGTTCTACATTTATTCTTGTTTGAGAACCCAAAAAGACTAAATTCCTTCAAGATTTTCTAATGGGTTTTTCAATTTGAGTGAAATGAGGTCTGTGGTAAACAACTTGAATAGCTCTACAACGTAAACCCACATTCAGCATTCATCAGGTCCACTAACTCATTATTAAACAATAGAAATTAATAAAAGTGTAAATACCAAAAGAGACTAACCTCCTGAGGGACTTTTTTAGACATTTTATGTTGGGCAGGTTGGCAGGCGTCTCTGCATATTTCAGACCTCCGCTGTTCCTCAAACCCCTCCTGTCTCACCGACTTCGATGGAAAACTGTGGTCAGATTCACTCATTGGAGGTTGTTGGCAGATCGACAGGTTTTCTTGGTGATGCTGGACAACAGAGCCGACAGATTGAGACCCCAAACTGTCTGTCTTCGGGCTTAAACTTGTTTCAACCACAGTTCGGTTTTGGGGTATTTCTGCAGACATTGCCCTCAAATTTGACTCTGCAACTTTGGGGAAAGATGTTTGATCATTGTTAAGAAATCAATACAGCATTAGTTTTGGAAAAAACAAATGAAGCAAACCTTGAACTTAAAATGTCATGCCTTGAACAACTCCATGTACATTGTAAACACACAACTGAAACACATAATCTGTGCAATTTAACGTCGACAAAACTACAACTTACCTTGATCAATTCTTTAATCTGGTTAAAGCAATGAGCATGTGCAGACTTGTGTGGCCATGCACACCCTATCAGACAGTTTCAACTGTACTACAGTAGTTATAGTAACTGTAAACAGTGGACGTTGATACCAGTTCAAAATGACAAACCATGACGGCTTTCTACAATTTTGCTGAATGGGGTAGACTGAGGAAAACAAGCTAAAAATCGAGTCTATTTTTCTGAGACTGCATTTTTTTTTTTTTCGCCCATTACATTATTTTTTGCCTTGCTGGCTTATTTTGCTGTTATTCCCTCTATTTTCCCTTCAATTCAAATCTTGATTACACTAGTATTTTTCTCATGGTTGCTTGGCTCAACGTTCAAAATTGCAAAATTAGGCTGTTCTGTTTGTGTATTGAGTAGGATGGCTCCTAGTCTCTCAGTTTATAATTAACTTATTGATTTGTGACACTGATGAGAAGATTTTTTTTGAGGATTGAATTGATATGCATTTAATATTGAAATTAAATGCGTTATTTTGCCAGGTCTTAAGAAACAATTTTATAGTTTCTTTAATTGATTGCTTTATATTTGATGACTTTCTCTGCTTATCCTTTCTTTTTTACTTTAGTTTTATAGTTTTCTTTACTCACTAAAATAGTAAAGTACCAAACCAATATGAAAAAGTCAAGCTCTGATAAATCATGTGACCAGAAACCCAGTAATGTTGGGTTTAAACGGACTGATCGACAAACACCATTTGACCCGGTCCATGTCCTTGTCAGGACAATGATTGACTGATGTGTGACGGCCCTATGATGTTTGTTGTACTGACATGCTTATAAGATTGAAAACCTCTCAAAGTCCCTGCTTGTCAATGCTCCAACATGAAGGTTCACAAAGTTGTTCTTTTCCTTAGTCTATTCCTTTTTACAGGTAAGCCAACAGATATTTATTCATAGCGCCTTAATTATTAGGCTATTTCTGCGATAAAATGAACTGAGTAAAACCAAAACTAATAGCATTAATTTATCTGTACATCATTAACGACTCATGTTACCCTCAGATTTCCAAAGAGCCCAGACCGAAAGCACAGGTAAGTAAATCTGGGCAAAATGTGCAAATGTGTTCTTTCAATTCATGTTTTGATACATAGTTGATCAAGTTTCAGATCTTTATATTTTAGAAAAAGTCTGCAGTATAGTTGGTAAGGGCTTACATGGGCTCTTGTTTAGGATAGTTTTGCTTTGTTGGTTTCATTGAATCTAGATAGCACAGTCCACAGAACCTATTCATTTTACTTCATAAACTTAATTATGTGTTTGTGATTAGAGGCTAAACTTTATCTTTTTGCCCCCCTTTTTTACATTCTACAGATGTTCTGGAAGCGTATATTAAAACAGACGGGGCCTGGATAGTGAAATTGCCTAAAGGTCAATACACTGTGAAAACAGTGGAAGAATGTGCCTCCAAGTGCGATAAAGAGACTTCCTTTACATGCAGGTGCAAGTCAGATCATAACTATAACTCTCAAAACATAAATATATTGACTGATCTGAAGATAATGAGCAATGACACATGTTTTGTTCTGCTCTAATGCTGCTTTCCAGGTCCTTTTTGTACATCGAAAAAGATCAGGATTGTGTAACATTACCTGGAAACTCAAAAACTGATCAGATACTGCGAAGAATGAGTGCTGTTCTCTATGAGAAAAAGGGTATGATTTATTTTATCACTTTACAGGTTTGAAAGTTTAATAGCTGATGATGTCATGAATTATCTTCAGCATGCATTACTCTTTTTTAAGTACATTATGAATTATATTTATAACCTGTTACGCTTTTTCTTGTTGTCGTTTTTCAAAAGTCTACTCGAGTTAATATTTAATCTAGACTTGTCAAAGTGTAGTTTGTTCTGTCAGTAAACAAAGTAAAGACGATTATCTGAAAATCTATCGTCCAATGAGGGATTTCTTCTGCAAATGCAATGAGAAATGTTTCAGTTTTGGATCGCTCAAATTAAATATACCTGATGATGTTGTCTTAACTTTAGGTCATGTAGTGAATAGTATTAACATTAAAAAGTATAAGTATTATCATTAAAATCAATTTTTTTTTAAATTGTCCCAAATTGCATAAGACCATTAATGTAGAAAATGATTGACACAACATAGGTTGATAATAAAAATAGACCATTGTTTAAATGCATATAACCAGCAGTGTAAAAGTGTAAATACAACTTGCTGCCTTAAATTTTTAAGTGCAATCAACTTTGCTGTTTAAGTCACTTCAACTTCAATTACATTGAAATGACTTATAAAATGAGTTGAATTTTGTATAAACTTTAAAAAAAAGTAACAATTAGTTAAAGCAATGTAAAAACATAGTTGTCACAACGTATTGATCATATAACTTTTTTACAGTGTGGCTATCGCATGAAACAAACACTGGGCCAAAATAGTGTAGAAGAGCTTGTTTCACCATATACGTTGACATCAGTAGATTTTGCCCTACCTTTAATCTAAAAAGCCAGTGTTTTCTACCATCTTAACTAAAGCACTTATTTTGTCACATTCCACACTGTAAAAATATATTGTTGGTTTAACTTAAAAAATGAAGTAACCTGGTTGCCTTAAAAAAAGTTCATTGAAATGTAAAAATTGAGTTAACACAATGAAGGAGATTGATTCATCAATCATCAGAAACTCAAAATATTATGTTATCTGAACTACATAAATTATTTAAGTTGATTTGACAAAAGAAAAAAGGTTGTGATTACAAATCATGATTTTTTTTTTACAGTGTATTAGCATTTACCATATTTCCCTTATGTCAGAAAAGACATGAGACCGATTTTTGTATCACAAACATACCTTGTGAGAACCACTCCACTTGTGGGCCATAAGAATGTACAGTAATTACCAATTGGGAAATTAATACATCATCAGTACTTTATCAACATCAAATGAGTTTAATAGCATCAAATTAATTTGTTTTCAAGTACGTTGTAATGAGTGCATTGAATTTCTTCTACAGAGTACTTACTGGAATGCATAAGTGGCATTGGTATGGACTACAGAGGGACAAAATCCAAGACAAAATCAGGAAAACCATGTCAGCGATGGGAGGGAACTTTCCCCCATGTGCCAAAGTACGTCTTAATTGGAATTTTCCATGGTTATGCTGTAAAAGAGAAAACAGCTTTAGGAAATACAGAAACTACTGTGGTTAAGTAAGCCAATTAACCTCAATAGTAACTTTCTACAGTATAACGCCAAGGACACATCCAAAAGCAGACTTGGAATCAAACTTTTGTCGAAACCCGGATGGAGACAAGGGGGGTCCTTGGTGCTACACTACAGACCCACAGAAACGATGGGAGAACTGCGATATCCAAGACTGCACAGGTACATTAAGCAAACAAACAAACAGCTAAATCTTGTGGGCTAACAAACTGATGTGTCAATCTCATGCAAAAGTTAACCTTATTATGAAGTGCACTTGAGGTGAACACTCTGAAGAGAGCAGGGCATTAGCTATGGCACTACCACTTTATCCTTTATGCATATTCTAAACATTCTTAAATCCATATTTATTAACTTGTATACTGTGGCTTTGTGCAGCGTTTGACAAAACTGAATTCAAATCACTGGGAACATCACAACAATGATAAATTAGCCTAGGTGTTAACATAAATCACGAAGATGTGCCACCCAGAATCATGTATTCATAAAATAGAAGATTAGTTGCTTGAGATGTCCGAGCACATTTCACAAATGGCCTTATGGAAAAGCCTTTCATGAAGGGATTCAGTTACCCACTTTCATTTGGAATGAGTGCAAAAAAAGTTTGGAATTTGTCCCTTGAATCTGCTCTTTAACATCTCCAGAGGAATGTATACAGTGCAGTGGAGAAAACTACAGAGGCAAGATCTCCACAACTGCGAGTGGATTTCCCTGCCAACGTTGGGACTCGCAAAAACCCCATAACCATGGTTACATCCCTTCAGCGTGAGACATTATAATTTATAGCACAAATGAGATATGGTCTATTTTGTGCATATTTTGACTATAGTCTGTCTTTTGAAGTCTTCCTGATAAGTACTTGGAAGAGAACTATTGCAGGAACCCCGATGGAGAGCCAAGGCCCTGGTGCTTTACAACCAGTCCATCCAAACGTTGGGAAGCCTGCTCCATTCCACGTTGTGGTAAGCAATGGTCTTGTCAATCTGTAACACAAAGTTGTGCTTCAAATGATTAGTTCATCATTAACTGGTCACCGTTTTCTTGTAGCGACTGAACCACCCACAATTGTACCAGAGCTTACCTGTGCAAGTGGAGAAGGTAGCTCCTACAGGGGCACCATTGCAGTGACAGTCTCAGGAAAAACTTGCCAGGACTGGGCTTCCCAAAGTCCCCAAAAGCATTCCAGAACTCCAGAGAACTACCCATGCAAGTAAGAGACATTCAGGTTTTGTTTCAATTCCCAAAGGTGTCAAATCCTACATGTGGAGGACCACATTTGTGTTGAGCAGCTAATCAAAGTCTTCAAGACTACTTGAAAATTACAGGCAAGTGTTTAACCAGGGTTGGAACTAAACTCAGGACAAGACCTTTTCCAGAGATCCAACCCCATTTAGCACACATGAAAGGTCTTCAGGATTAGAAACTTCCAGGCAAAAGTTAAATTCCACATGCCAGGGCCCTCCAGGAGCAGGATTTGACACAGTTGTACTAGAAGAACTAAGTAGACAGACTCATTCAAAGTCTGAACTATTCTGTAGGGAAAAGCTGTGAAATTTTACTTGCCCAAGTATCCCAAACACGTAAAGAATAGTGACTGCACAAGTTTGTTCCCATCCCAGAGGCCTCGATGGAAACTACTGCAGAAACCCTGATAATGAAAGAAGTCCATGGTGTTACACCACAGATCCAGAGACCCGCTGGGAGTACTGCAGTGTGCCAAGTTGTGGAGATCAACCTAGACCTGGTCGGTTTTGAAGGAGCCATTACAAACTGTCCTTTCTTTGTATGTTACTTCATATGCCCCTAGAACTGGT